CTTAAAAATCACACATACATCATCTCACTTCAAATTCTCAATCTAAATCAACCACCAAGTAAATCATGCAACCATGAATTTCAACATCAAAGTGCAAGCATTCAGCAACAACAATTTAAAACACAAGTTTTCCTTACCTTTTGAAGAATCCAATCTAGAAGAGAAAGAGAAAACCCACTCCGAATGAATTCAACTCCCCAGGATCAAAATCAGAGTTACCGTACCTCAATCAACTACGAGAAAATAGAAAGATCTCTAAAAAAAAGGAGAATTGGGGTTATTAGAGAAGGCTATTGCTACTATGCCAGTTTGTTTGAAAGGGTTTTGACACCCTTTCTATATCAGTAAATCAAATGTTGACACGTGTGTCTAATAAGCTGAGTCATGGTCAACTCTCTCATAATTGGTCAATGGACAATTTTGGAATTTCACTTGGGATAGTACCTATAATCTCCACTTCTATCACTAGTGAAAAATTAGCATATTACGTCACTCCTTTTACGTCAGAAATACGAAAATCCGACGTAAAAAAAATGCGGTGGCATTTTTGTAATTTTTGCAAACTTTTTTACGTCAGACTTGGTAGGGTCAGACGTAAAAAAGGACGCAAATTTGAATAAGAGAGTGCGAGGCACCGCGCGCATTCACTCTTCATCACTTTTCATTTTTTTCTCTCTAAACCCTCTCTCTCTCCTTTGTTACTGAATCGTTTTTTTGTCTTTTGCAGAGGGATGAACTCTTTGTTACTCATTTGCACATTGTTGCTGCTCCTTAGGTATGAATCAAGGTTTCGTTAGCACTTTTCTACTTCGCATTGCTACTCTGGCTATCTGTTTTATTTGATTTTTTGGTTGTTCTATTTGTATAGGTAGTGGGCGTTTTCTTTTGGGTTGTTATACGAAGATGAATAGCTTGTTCTACAAGCAGAACGACCTGTTCTACAAGTAGAACGGCCCGTTCTGCAAGCAGAACGGCCGGTTCTGCTTGGAGAACGGGCCGTTCTGCTGGCATTTTTATGTTTTTTTTATTTATTTTTTTCCTACTTTTTTACGTCAGATGTCGTAATGTCTGACGTAAATTTACGTCGGTTTTGCAGATCCGACGTAAAATTTACGTCTCCTGCTTCTACGTCGGTATGTTTTCTGACGTAAAAAGCTGAAAATGTCTGACGTAGTACACCTCTTTTGTACTAGTGTATCCTTCCTTCACGACTGCAAAGGGTAGTTCCTCTGACCATCGCCATCACCCCTACCGTCGACTTAGCCACCGTCGCCGCTGACATAGGCGTTGCCTATGCACTCTCCTGCCGTTAGCTGATACCACTAGCATCCAATTCGGTAAGGAAGAAGTCGGATGCATAGTAGTCCGCGGAGGTGCCGTCATCGCATCTTTCTCCGACGAACCAAAGTTTCCAAGAATGAATCCCATAGGGAAAAACCCTAACAACAATAATACGCGTCCGTGTCGGGAACCAACAACGGTAGCGACGGAATCGACACGCCGTGGAAGGACCTCTCGCTGATACCCAATCCTAGGGCCCATCCTGCGGACAAGAAGCTTCTCTTGTTGGACCCATCGGGGGACAGAAAAATCAACGCGGGAGAAGAAGGAGAGTTCCTTGTCCTAGGTCAACGGTGGAGGCGGTAGCGGTGGCCACACATAGCTAACCAGTTGCGTCACTTACTTCATCGAAGAAGAAGACAAATTCGTCGGACAAGATGAGGGATTAGTCAGAGAAGAAAACAGATTCGTCGGACAAGATGAGGGATGTCCCAAGTGAAATTCCAAAATTATCCCTTGACCGATTGTGAGAGATTTGATCATGACTCACACGTGTCAACATATGATTTGCTGATGTAAGAAGGGGCACCCAAACCCTCTCAAATAAACTAGCAGCGTAGCGATAGCCATTAGAGAAACTCTCACTAGGATCCTTGAAAACTTAAGTTATGAGGTCCAAATTTCAAAAAATCCTTTTATACTTTCCTAAGATAACTCCAACTATCTCTAGTTCAATTATCCAAAGACTAACTTACTTTCAAGGTCCCTTTGACTTAGAGTTCTCAACGAGTGACATCTAAACAACAAAATTTCATACAATGAATAAAACAATCATAAAACCAACAATGTTACTGTAGCAATGTTGTTATCAATGGTGGTAATAATGGTGCCAAGTTAATAATAGTAGTGGTCATATCAAATGATGACATTATCGATGCTTGTGACAGTGATAACAACAGTAATATTAATGCATATGAACATTATCAAATAAAATGAAAGTTTATTTTTTAAAAATTAAGTGTCAAATTTACTAATCATTTATTCTTAATTTTAAAAATAAACGTAGAAGCACATACAAAGTGAGTTAAACAGTATTTAAGCTCTATTTTTATCAAACTCGTTTTGCTTTAACTCCGAGCCACCTCAAACACGCCTTTACCTTTTTAGTCTACGTTGATGTCCTATGTGTCCATGTCGATTTTAATTAGATAGCAATGGATTTCTATATTTTGTATTGAAGACAAGAAACCGCAAGAAAAGAAGTACGAGTTCGAAATGAATGAAGATATTATCTTACCCATACAAGTTGTCTCCAATTTTGCGTCGTTTTCCATGGCTTTCAATTCCTTGAACCCAGAATCAGTGAGAGGAAAATAGATCGTTCCTTTAGGTGTGAACACATTATATGTAAATGAGAGGACAAATATTGGAGGGTGGGGACACGTTGTCTCCATACCCTACTTGTGTTGTGGGTCCTTTTGATGAAGCCAAAAGGAAAAGGGTTATATGTGTACTAGCAACAATCACGGAAAGGTACACATTTATGGACCATGGTACCGCACCAACAAAACCACAGTGAAGTTAGGTCACGACAAGCCAATTTGGACTCCTTGTTACACGATGATTCTTTGTGGGTCATCATCAATTGCTTCTGCGTTCTTTCGTATCTTCAAAATTCTTCACCATGGACAACGTACGTTCTTCCATTGCTCAAATACACTATTTTTTCTACACGTTTGAGCAACCTCCTTTCGTACCTCTCTTCTGCTTGTGACATTAACGCATTGGTGTGTAGATCTTAGACAAAAACGCTTGTGTTTGTTTTAATTTTAGGAATTTTGTTTAAAAAATTGATGTAGAAAGAATTGAGGTTAAATATATATCATGATTTGACATCGGAAATGGAAGTGATATTTCAAAAGAGTTACTTAATTAAGAGAACCATTAGAGTCACGCAGCGGTAGAAGTTGAACTAAAATATACATGATTTCAAGTTTAAAGTATGTTATTATTATTATGATTTTGATAGATTAAAAAATTTTGTTTACGTAATTTAAAATAAACCACTTCTGAATTTAAATATAAATACTTCCTGATCAAAATTTAAATTAAGGTATTTTATGAGTATCACTTTTCAAGGAAAAACTTGAAATATTTTTCTTTTATTAATATTATGTATATTCACGGTGGAACTAACTTGGAAAGTGCATCATACTGTGCAAGTGCAGCTGAATTTCAGTTGCCACATCACGAACAGGGTAGTCACATTGATCATGTTGAGATGCATGCTTCATAGATCTATTTGTTTTTTCTTCTTTTACCATATTTTCCTTTTCAAATTTGTATTTCCAGTCATATTATTTAATTATTTATATTTATCATTTTTTGCTTTATACACTTGTCTCTTTCTTCTTTCCACTTCTAGACACTCTAAAAATGGAGTATAAATTCAACAATTTTACATGCTTTACTTATTAAATCAATGACCATCTACATCCAGCGCCACTTCTGACATTCTATGGGTTTTAGACAAAAACTATAAAGTAAAACTCCTTAAATATAAATATAAAATAAAAATATATTTAATAAAAAATAGACATATAATTTTATTAAGAGAATTATGCATCTTATATATTAAGTGCATAATATAATTTTAGAGAGGACAAATATAATTATAGTGTAGTTTTAAAAAAAAAAAATTTAAAACAGTTTCTTTTTGTATTAATTACAAATTTCATTAAGTGCAGTTTTTTTTATAAGTTACTGAAAGTAGACTTTTTATTTCATAATATTTTTTTCAGTGTCATTGTTTAACATAAAATTGAAAGACAGTTCTAATAATCAAAATTAAAAAATGTTCTTTTCCATAAATAAAATAAATAAATTGACTAACAGGTAAAACATGACTGTGAAACCCTTTATTTTAAAAATGTTTAAAAACATAAAATGAATTCAAGATGTTAAAATACATACAAATATAAGACACAATGTATTTTCTTTCTTTCTTTTTTGAAATATAAGAGGCTTAAAAAAATTGGACCCCTCCCAATTTAGAGGTCGCAGTTGCACTTCTAAACTACCTCCGGCTTTGCCTACATTCGTTAAAATAATTACGGGGCACGTTTTGGTTGGGTTAGTAAATGTTTAGACATCTAATCAAGATATCATCATGTTAAAAGTGCACATTTCTATTCGTGATTAGACTCGATCCAAAATTATACCTGAGATCCACTCACCATATAAGATTGATATTGATCTTGATAAATAGAAAACTTTAAATGGGTATAATTCAATTTTGGGTGCAAATCTGAGTGCCTTTTGATCTGAAGAATATATGGTCTCTTATGCTTTATACAGACCAATTTTCCATTCTTAGGACATATGCTGACAATACACACAAGTACTTTGATTAATTAAGCAGCCACTTCGAGTTTGAACATGTTCACACGCCTCCGAAAAATAGTTCGTAATTAAGTTCCTATCAAGAGATTGATTTTCCAAGAATTTTACTAACCAAAAGATACATTGTGTGTTATCATATTATACAGAGTCTCAAGTCTCAGGTTTTTCTTGTTTTATCAAGGACAAATTGAATGACTTTGTTTTATTCAAACGTCCCACATTACAAAAAAACAAAAAAAACAAAATTCTAATTAAATTCATTTTTCCTTAATTAAATTTGACGATAGTTGAAACTTGAAACGTAAATATCTCAGTAATAAAACCAATTGTGGGCAACATCAACCCCTTTCTTATTGAAGTAAAGATCAAGAAGAACCAGCGAAATCGGATTTTGTTTCCCCACAATCTAGAAACTCCCTAACAGTTTACACACTACACAAGGATCGATTGAATCAAATGAAATGGTCCTCAAAATCTACGAATTGATCTGCAACTTCAGCCCTACCTAGTCCTTATTCTTTATCCACTCTGTTTTTTTTTTTTTTTTTTTTTTTTTGGGAGAAAAATGAAAATACATATTGGTACAACAAATGGTGGCAACGAGGAACACGTGACGACGTTTGGTGTGGCGAGAATCGCAGCTTGGGAGAAGAACCTCGAATCTCGAATCTGACCCATTTTACAAATAGAAAGG